TTGGCAACAACTCCCATCATCCCCAGCACAGAGGGACAGACAAAAAATGCAGAGGCTGATGTGGCTACAGGCTCTCCTGCTCTTTACGTGCCAGTAAGGACTTGCCACCTCCTTCTGGAGGGCAGGTACCCCTTGGTAACTGAAGCTGCCGCTGGTACATGGTGTGAGCCCCCCCAACCATCCTGGCTGTGCCACTCAACAGTGTTGGCGATTTCAAGCAGCTTTGGCTCACCCCACCGCCCATCATCTGCAGTGTGAATGTTCCTCTCCAAGTGGGGAACGTGGGCATCAAATCTGAGCTCCTTCACCAGCTGGGCAGAGGAAGGGCTGACTCAGGATTTGCCAAGGACCCCAGCCAGGAGAGAGAGACCCTTCCCAAGTTCAGAACTGACATCCCCCACCACACCCCATTGCCCTTGGCTCATTCAAGGGCAGGTTAAAGAAACAGTCGGCAAGATAAATAATAGATAAATAGGAGGTTGGGAAGACCAAAAGCTGCAGGGGGAGGGGGCAGTGGAGGGCCAAGGGGGAAAGAGAAAGAAATGAAGTGTGAGATTTCCAGCTGGTATTAATTTTTAGCATCACATCTTTCAGCTTATCTCCATAAACACTGAGCGACTCTTGGTAATTACAGGGTCTCTGCAGCCCAGCCAGGGAACTAAGCTGCAGTTGCTGGGTGGTCTTTTCCCCCTCGAAGTCAAGGGCAGGTCCCCGCAGGGCTGGGCAGGCAGGCAGGCAGGCAGGCAGGCAGGCAGCAGTTCAGCGCCCTAGGAGCCACTCCGAGCCACTCAGTCACCCCGGACGCCTGAAGGGCCTCCTCCCGGTCAGCCGTCCACGCAGAGTCCAACTGAACTTTGGCAAAAGCAGTGACAGAATCAGCAGCTCCTCTGGGGAGGCTTAGCGTGACTGGAGAACCTGTCCTCGCACTTACGCCATGGCTCTAGAGGGGACATTGCAGCGGGGTCGAACCTATCCAAGAGCCCCTGGGGAGGCATGTCCAAGCCTGGGGCGCGCATTGAACACCCGCCCTGCAGGGGAGGGCGGGAGATTTTACAACCGCCTACAGCCTTGAGGCCACTGGCTCCTTGGCTCGTGGGCCAAAGATAAGGCTTGAACTTCCCCCAGCCCTGCCCACCCCCACTGCTGGCGTTCCTCTTTGCAGCTGCCCTGGCAGCATGGCCTGGATCGCAAATGGCCCACTCCAGAGAAAGTTGGGGTGAGCCCAAGTGCTGGGGCTGGAAGGGCGAGGCTTCCGCCTTGCAGGGCTCTTTGGAGGGGCAGGACCCAGCAGGGGCTTCCAGTGGGCTCCTGGCTCTGGCTGATAAGCGAACGGCAGCCTGACCCAGCCGGGGAAGGAACATGCTGGGCTGAGCAGCCCAGCAGCTCCCTGCCCCCACCCCCGTCATGCTATGCTTTGGGGACAATTCCCGGGAAACGGCTGGCTCGAGGTGCGGGTGGCTCTGTCTGCCACGGGTGGAGGAGTCCCAGGCGCCAGAGAAGCACAGGAGTGGGAAACAGAACCTCCTTATTCTGAAGCAGTCTACAAGATACTGGACGAGAGCTTCCTCGGCCCTCCTTGTCAATGGCCTGACTGCTGTAGGGCAGGGCCCCAATCCACAGGAGCAGGGCTGAGGCAGGGGGCGATTTCTTTCAAGGGGACCAAGCAGGAGATCCACTTGGGAATCTCGGCTCAAGCATCCAGGAAAGGGGCTGGGGGTGATGTGGCCCCAAGATGTCCCTTATGGGGGTCTTTGCTCCCCCTTTAGCAACCCACCAGGAGAGACGCACAAGGTGGACTGGGGCAGGAGACCCTTGCTGTACATGGATCCCGTCCCACGCAAATCAAATGGGACCCCCCTTCCAATAATATACGGGGACAGCAGAAGGGAATGAGCCAATGCTGGGGGGGGGGGGTTGCAGGCAAGGGTGGGGGAGGAGAAGTGTGCTTCCGGCCTTTGTATATTTGTCCAGCGAGGCATCATTTTTACGCCCCAGACTCTTACTCACTTCGATGACTTCCTGTTTGAATTCCCGGGAAGGAAGCTATCTATCGCTTTCATTTCTTTCTCTCGAGGCTGAAGGGGACGTGCTGGCCTCGGAGGCAGGAAAATTAGGTGGGACAAGCTGGGCTGGCAGCAGAAGGGAGGGGCCCTTGCAGAGAAGTTGTGCCTGGGTCGGTCCCATCATCCCCAACGAGCCCTAAAAGGGGAGGGTGGGACTCTTGGGCCATGCATCCCCTCAGCGCGGGCAGCGGTTCTCTGCCCCTT